CCCGGGCCACCAGCATCGGAGCACGTGCACTTAACCACCAAGCCACGGGGCCGGCCCAATCCCAATTATTTTAATCTTTGTACATTAAGAAAGAATTTAAATAATTTGCAGAGGGTGGGGGAATTCAGAGATAAAGGCCTAAAAATTTTACTTGTTTTAGGAAACTATTTAGTGTTATCTAGCGTGTTTTAAGTGTGAAAACATCCTCATAACGATATGTTTTTAATGTTTAACATTTAAAATGCAAGCCTTGTGTAAATGCAAAAGAGAAGAAAAGTAGGATAAGGAAATAAAAAGAAAGGTAGAGAAGTTGGAAAATATTGAAGTATAGGGCATAGGATTGACTTATAGTGTATTGTTAAAGGGGCTTTTGCTTCATCACTGGATTTACTGAAGCTAATTCACAAATGATCATCACCTTTGCCTTGTATTTGAGGAAGATATTAGGGAGATTCTCACTGGATCAAATTGTCTCTAAAAGTGGACCTTTTGGAATTATTAGCTCAAAAATTCTTATTACTTAGGATTGTCCTAAAGTATTGATAAAATAAGTATCTGTAAAACACTGGAATCACGTAACATTTCCCCAAGGTATTTTTTGCCTTTTTTTTTTTTTTTTTTGGTGAGGAAGATTAGCCCTGAGCTAACATTCGATGCCAATCCTCCTCTTTTTGCTGAGGAAGATTGGCCCTGGGCTAACATACATACCCATCTTCCTCTACTTTGTATGGGACGCCGCCACAGCATGGCTTGACAAGTGGTGCATTGTGCGTGCCCGGGATCTGAACCTGCAAACCCTGGGCTGCCGAAGCAGAGTGTGCGCACTTAACTGCTATGCCACCAGGCCGGCCCCTATTTTTTGCTTTTTAATTCTTTAAATAACTAATTGAAAAAAAAAGTTTAATAAGCTTATAATTAATTATAAGTTCTTAGAATAATGCATTTCCACTTTTCTACATAATCTTCTGACAGATGCAAATATTTTTCATCGAGGTTAGCTTTATGATCTGTCTGTAAAAGGATTTAAAGGGAATAAGTGCAAAACTGTTATCCACCTTGTGTCCCTTATAGTAGAGTCAAATAACTTCTTAAACATTTTATTATAGAAATTTTCAAACATAGAAAAGAAAGTAGAAAGAATAATAGTATAATGAACCCTCATGTACTTGTCATCTAGCTTCAACAATTGACAACCTTTTGACAATCTTTCATCCATCCACACCCTCCTCAGCTTTTCTTTTTTGGGCAGGGGGATATTTTGAAGCAAATTTCAGATGTTATATTATTTCACTTATAAATAATTTAGTTATTTGTAGAACTTTTCTTGTTCATTTAAAGCTACTTATTGAGTCCCTTTTATTTTAACTGGCATTGAGTGGTTCCAATGAATCAGAACAAGACCTGCACTAAAATAAAATCATCTATGTAAAGTATCTAGCACAGTAATAAGCACAGAGTAGATCCTTTCCATTCCAATCTGCAAGGGCTTTAAATTTTAAAAATTCACAATAATTCCTTAATATCATAAAACATCTAATCAATGCTCAAAGTTTCATTGATTTTTTTTCTCGTACTTTCTTTTTATAGTTTGAATTAGGATCCACATGAAGTCTTTGGATTGCAATTGGTTGATATATCTTTTAAGATTCTTAATTTACAAGCTCCTCTTCATCTCTTTCTTTTTTGTTTAAACCTTGCCATTTATTTGTTGAAGAAACTGGGTTGTTTGTCCCTTAGGATTTTCTACATAGTATAGTTCAATATGTTCCTCTGTGTCCTGTATTTCTTATAAACTCATAGTAGAACTAAAGCTTGTCAAGACTACTTCATAAGAGGTTTGTGTATTCCCATCTAGAGACACTGAATGTCTGGTGGTCTTTCTTTTCATGATATTAGCAACCATTGGTGGTCATTGTCTAGATTTGTTTTTTATTCTTCATCGTTTACTACAGATGTTTAAAATTAATTAACATAAAGAGGAATTCTCTTTTTTTCTATGTTTGGAAATTTAGATGTAGGCAGTTTTTCTTTGATACGCACTGTATTTATTCCTTGGTTTTCCAGAAATGCTTACATGTTGACCCAGACAAAAGGCCCTTCTGTGCTGAGCTCCTGCACCATGATTTCTTTCATATGGATGGATTTGCTGAGAGGTATAGTTACTGACTCGTGTTTTCCAGGTTGCACCACAACCTAGGGTTAAAGTAAGGCCTCCTTAACAGTAACAAACAGTATTTCTCTTATTTCTCTACACACTTACTTTTGCAGGATCTCAAATATTTACCACCCTACCTCCATTTACCCGTAGCAATAACACAATTCCTAGGAATGGTCCCCTGCGTACAGTAAATTAGGGCTCTTGGTTTTCATGAAGGAGTCACTTCATGCTTTTCTTTCTGTCTTCCTGTGGTGACACCTGCCACTCAGGTCACTGATTTCTGTGTTGATACCAGCTGTGTGATGCATCATCTTGGGTGCTGATGCATTTGCAAGGGTGCCATCTCCTGTTGCTGCTGAACTCGAACCACACCCAGTCCTGTGACACTGCTGACACTGCTGATATGCTGAGACCTTGATGTGCCAAACCTGTGGGTGCCAGCGCTGCTGGCACGGTCTCTTGTGCTGTTCCAGCTGCTGGCATCCGTGCAGCTGACAAAACAAAAAATAGTGAGATGAGTGGCAATGAAATTGCTTTATATTTTTGCAAATCTATTTAATATCTAGCTTAATAAAAGATAGCTGGGTTCTCATTTTTGCTTCTGCATTCAGTTAGTTGTGATATGTTGTTTTGGTTGTAGTATATGAAGAAACTCTGGCCTCCCACAAATATGTATTTGGAAAATGGAAGAGTATTTTAATAGCCCTTTTAGATAATTGTGGTTTTTCTTCTTTGACTTCATACCAAAAATTGAAACTATACCAAAACTTGACAGTGTAGTTTCTTAAAGATTGGTTGCATTGTAGAATCTTAAACCATATCAGTGAACTTTTCTTACCCTGTTATAGTAAAATCCATTGGTCTATCTTGCACTTTGAATAGATCTTTTACCTGCGTGCTTTTGTAACATCTTGACATTCATCATTTGGAAAATATTGTTATACTGTTATGCAGATCTTTAAAATGTTGATACATTTCATTATACAATCAAAAAGTCATAGTCTCTCTCATCAGAAAAGTCTTTACGTACTGGGAATCTGCTAAGCTCACAGTTGTGGATACAAGTTTAACAGAATTCTAATTTTCCATAAAAATTTGAATTTTATCTACACAATATTATCAATTGTGTTCCTGGAAGTGATAAGTTCTTGTGTTCATTTTTTTAAAGAAAGTGTCTGCCAAACACACCAAGTCTGAATAACCATAGTTTTTCTGTCAGTCTTTCTTTCAAGTAAAAAAGTTGTTCCATGAAAAGTGACTGGTTTAGTGTGTATCTCAAACAATCACACAAGTGCTTTTTTTAGGACAACCATTACACTTTGGTCTGTAGCAGAGTTGCTGTATGCATATTTCCTTTTTTTTTTCTTTTTTTGCTGAAGAAGATTTGCCCTGAGCCAACATCTGTTGCAAATCTTCCTCTATTTTGTATGTGGGCTGCCACCACAGCATGGCCACCAACCTGTGGTGAAGGTCCATGCCCGGGAACCGAACCCTGGCTGCTGACGTGGAGCATGCCGAACTTAACCATTAGGCCACTGGGGCTGGCCCTGCATATTTCCGTTTTGTCACAGAATATGAAAAAAGACGTGTGTTCAAGGGTTGAGGTTTAATATAATTAATACTTGTTTACTGCTTCATCAGAGACAATCTTAAATGAAACTGCTTTTTTTGTTAACTGAGAATGTGTGGCTATGAGGAATACAATGACCGCTGGTACAGTCTGGTGCCACTGCTTGTTCTTGGTGAGGCGCCAGCAGTTTTACCCGCCTTTGCTTTTATACCATCCGTGCAAATGTTGACCCGGTGAAAAAGAAGTCATCTTCATATTAAGATAAAATAGCTTTGACCTTTTGAACCTCCTGAAATGTTCTCAAGGATTCCCATGGTCTACAGGCTACCTTTTGAGAACTGCTAATCTAGGCCATAATTTTTCTCATTTTAAATAACACAGTCTAGTTTAATACTCAATTTTTTATAATAAATATCTTAAAAACCAATTTTTTTCTAGATTTATCTGTCTCACACAATTTTAATTTATTGGCAAATGTATTTTTATGTAGGTTTTCTCAGGAACTACAGTTAAAAGTACAGAAAGATGCCAGAAATATTTCTTTATCTAAAAAATCCCAAAACAGAAAGAAGGAAAAGGAAAAAGATGATTCTTTAGGTGAAGAGAGAAAAACACTTGTGGTACAGGTAAATGTCCATGTTTTAATGTGTATTAAAATTTAAATTTAATATCTCCTTAAATTTTTGGAGGAAAAAAATGAAGATTTAAAAAAACTTTTCTGAGTGGTGAACGAGTTGTTAACTTTTAGCTGAGTTGTTAAAATGTATCTTCTCTGTAGATGTTACCTGTTTAAAAAAAACTTTATGTATCATGTATTGAGTGCCTACTGTGTACCAGCCTGTGCAATAGGGCTTGTCAGGAAATCACACTCATCCAAGAACATTTAGACATGTGTATGCACATCCACATACAAACACACGGACACGAACACACACCATTTTTTTTCTTAAATAATAGGAGAGAAAATTATCATTTTTAGAATTTTACATAAAGTAGAACATTTTAAAATTGAGATTTGGGTATTCAATTTATTTGAAGTTTACTTTTCCTGGTAAGTTATCTGGAATCTGTTCTTACCAGGAACAGATTGGTAAGGACAGATTCCACTACCAACAACTCCCATTTTCTCAAGTGACCCAAAAGAAGAAGGAGTTCTCTATTTTGTGTTTCCTGACTCTAAATATATAAGAACAAAGTGGGCCTGTTTGATTCCTGAAATATATATAAATTCAATATATGTATATGTCATATAAATCTGATTTATATATCAGAGCTAGTGTGAATTGCATTTCCATTTGAAATAAATTTCTGAACAAGAATCCTGGGTTTAATTGTAATTCCATAGGTAGAATAAAGAAAAGAGCACAAAAAGTGTTATCTGTGGAATTCTGCTTTAGTTGACAAGTACTTTATAGGAAGAGGTGATTTTTCATTCTCCTCACGTCATTAATGTTATTAACATTTTTATTAATGGTCAGGATACCAATGCTGATCCCAAAATTAAGGATTCTAAAGTATTTAAAATAAAAGGATCAAAAATTGATGGAGAAAAAGTTGAAAAAGTCAGTCGAGCTTCAAATGCCAGCTGTCTCCATGACAATGGGCAGAGCCACATCAGAACAATGCCTTCAACAAGCCTCAGAGATTGCAGCAATGGCGGTGTGGATCACACAAGGACTCCAGGCCTGGCAATTCCCCCACTTATGCACAATCTTTCTGCAGCGGCTCCCCGTGTTAATTCTGGAATGGGGACTATCCCAGGAGTTCAGAATTACAGGTATGAATTAGGAAAATAAGAACAAAATGTGTGTGGATATATTTGCACAATGCGAGTGTTTGTCAATTCAGCCTCTCTCAGGCTTCTGGATGCTCTTCATTCTTGTCAGGTTGCTGTTTAAAAACACTTTTTGGCCTATGTGATGAAAATTATTAGCATTTGATCAAAAAATTCACCAGAGTCCCAAGAAAGTAGGGTTGTATTGTTTAAGGTGAAGGGAATCTACAGCTATTTAGTCTAGTAACGTGAAAGGAGATTGTCATAATAAAAGAGATAATTGGTTTTGAGGGTCTGCTGCTGCATGGTATGGCTGTGGGCATTTAGTGGTACAAAGAAGCTCCTTTTGGGAATTTTGCTGAAAGGAAGGTAATTTATTTGGTTGGAGTTGGGGCTGGGTGAGAGGAATGAGGGTAGTGGTGAAGGGCTGGATATGTCACCAGATCCATGTGCATTGTATGTTTAAGAATAGGCATTAAATTTGACTAAACTGCAATGTCATTGGTACTGTGTTGTTTGGTTTTATGCTTGAAAAAATATTTACTGCTGGTTCTAAGTTAAATTTTTTGTTATTGTTGTTACAGAGTGGATGAGAAAACCAAGAAGTATTGTATTCCATTTGTTAAACCAAATAAACATTCTCCATCAGGCATTTATAATATTAATGTGACCACATCAGTAAGTGAACTGTTCTCAGTGGTACAAGAGCAAGCATTAGTCATTTCTAGACCTTTATTAATATTAAATATGATAGTGAAGAACTGAGAATTTTATTTGGAGACATATCATAAAGTGGAACCTTAATTGTGCATATATCATCCCAGCCTGTCATAATCATAAATGTGAAAATCTTAAAGTTTAAGTAAGTTTTATAAGTCTGGAAGTTTAAATATAAGATGTTATTATTAAAATAACATCTGTTTTAATTTTTTTGATAACAGTAAATTTTCTTAACCTAATGTTTGGTGTGATCAGTTCTTTTTTAGAGTAGATGAGAAGATAAATTGTCTTCTCTCACCCATACCAAATTTTTGGTGAAAGTATTCTATTTATTCATTTAACAGATATTTATTGATTATGTATTATGTGTAAGACACTGGAATGAATAAGTCAGTCTTTCTCTTCAAGGAGCTCATGGTCTAGCAGAGGATCAACAAATTAAAACATAGTGTCAGATTGTAATAGACGCATGAACAAGGTTCAGAGGTCTCCTGAAGGTTCAGAGGAGCATTACTATGCTCATCGTAGCTACCAGAATGCTTCTTTTTAAAGTTAAGTTAAATCATCATCACTCTTCCACTCAAAACTCCCTCCATTGGCTTCTCATCTCTGAGTAAAGACCAGAGTCCTCAGAGGGCCTGTAAGTCCCTGAAAGACTCACTTCCCCACCCTCTATCCCACCCGGGCAGCTCTCCTTCCTGAATCAATCTATTCCAACCACACCGATTTCCTCCTTATTCCTGGAACGTGGCCAGACGTGCTCCCACGTTTGGGCTTTTGTGCTTGCTGTTTCCTCTGCTTTAGAACATTCTTTCTCTAGATAACCCAAGGAATTTGCTTTTTCTTCTCCTTGGCTTATGTGAAGCCTTATTGTGAGGTCTTCTCTAATACTATAACTCATTTTATCACCCATTACTCTCTATCCCCTCTCCTTGCTTAATTTTTTTCCATTGCATACACCTGACATCCTCTATTTTCTTTTATTTATATATTGTTTGTCTTCCCCACTTCAATATAAGCCTCCAGCGCAGGGATTTGTATTTAGTTTTCCTCCCTGCTCTTCCCCACCTAGAACAGTGTCTAGCACATTGAAGTTGCTTAAGAAATGCGGTGAATGAAGTCTGCCAGGGAAAGGGAGGTATGGACGTATTCCCAAAAGAGTTCTTTTCTCACACATTTCCCTTCTCTACCTTTATCTTTATCCTTAGAGCTGAAAAATATAGTCTTCTTTCATATCTCTCATGATTTGGACATTGCATTTGTTTTTCTTTTAATTATTCTTATCCTACAATTCTGTACCCACAGTACTTTCCTTTTCGATATCCCTTACTGATTTCTTTGTGGATATTTGCATTTTACATTCCTGGTCTGCTTTGGAAGATTATTTTGATCAGGAAGGCTTTTCAGAGTAGCTGGCTCGATACCATTTCGCTGGAATTGATATCAGCCTTCCTTCAGGCATTGCGTAATCAACGCTGGCTGATAATTTAAGATCTTATTTCTGTTTATCTTTCTTTGCAAGAGGGCTTCAAGAAAGAAGGAAAAGATTAGTGGGGACAAGACCCACTAGAGTCTTTTCCTCATGAAAATTAATGCAGGCAGAGCTCAGCCTAAGCTTTTATCAACTTCTAGGTTGAAGACCAGTACCCACCCCGTGCTTCATACCCTAATTCTGAGGTGTGAATAAATATATTATTGCAAATATCTCTTATGTATTTTATTTTTCATTCTCTAAACATGTAAATCTAGTAGTTTGAACACATTATTTATTATTTTTTTGTATTTGCAGATAGTTTTTGTGAGCCGATTATTTTATTTATAGTTGATTTTAACTAAGAAGCTTAGCACTTCTTCTATTAAAAGAGCAAGCAGAAACATCTATAAAAAAGAAACTCAAAAATTCACCCCAGGACTCATGAAGACTTTCTGGGAGGCAGAGTGGCACAATGCACTCTGTTAACTTGAGGCATCAAGAAACCTAAGTGGTTTAACTGCGTCATTATATGTGTGTGTATTTCATTATACATACATATATATGTATATACACATATGTATATATGATTTCATTACACATATGTGGTTTATTTATTTTAGCAAATCACATAATCTCTACGTATTATCTGTTTTGAAAATATGGAAAAGAATATAGAGTTTCTGTGATTCATAAGTGAAACAGATTGGGAAAATGTCAAATTCATAAAAGTGCAGCTGCTGGCCCCGTGGCGTAGTGGTTAAGTTTGTGCGCTCCGCTGTTGGCAGCCCGGTTCCGATCCTGGGCACACATCGACACACCACTTGTCAGGCCAGGCTGTGGCGGCATCCCATATAAAGTGGAGGAAGATGGGCACGGATGTTAGCCCGGGGCCAGTCTTCCTCAGCAAAAAAAGAGGAGGATTGGCATGGATGTTAGCTCAGGGCTGATCTTCCTCACACACACACACACAAAAGTGAAGAATTGAAGTGCTACTACTATCCTGTACTTTATTATGTTTTCAGACTTTGTCAACTATCAAGTAATAGTACTAAGAAAGATTAGGAAAATAATTGAAGTTGTAATTGTTTACTTAATAAAGTGTATTTCTAGGAAAATAGTATCATGTGCTAACTCTGAGGAGCAAGACAAGGACAAATAAAGAAAAATGAGTAACAACATTATACTGGGAAAGCAAAAAACAAGCTAGGAGATGTGATATACACAACAAGATGACCTGTTCAGGATTAAGGTGGCCAACAGCAACTCTGTGCTGAAAATCCCAGTAAGTGTCATAAGGCCTGACTTTGCTGGCCTGAAGGACCAGGACACTGATGCCCATCTTCTAACCTTTTCCTGCTTGCCAAGACTTACACTGAAGGTTGGCAGAGGCAGAAGGAGAAACTCATAGCAACCAAGTAATCCTCTTGTTAGCAATTTTAATAAATTTAATCAGGAAAAGCTATGAAATAATTGGATGAAACTATTGTGTGTGTGTGTGTGTTTCTGTTTTAGGAATGTTTTATTTTCTGGCCTTCAAGGAATACATTTCTTTTCTCTTAGAGGAAGAGATGCTGATAGTCCTCTTTTGTTTTTTTTTAATTAAGGTATAATTGACATGTAACATTATATCAGTTTCAGGGTTTTGTGCGTTATTAATATTCTTCAGATTTTGTGTTATTCTAGCCCTTCAATTCCATAAATTTTAGGATCTGAACATAGTTACAGAAGGCGGCAAGCCTAGCTTACCTGGAAGCTAATTCATTTGTGTTAACCATTCTTATGATATTAGGTCACTAGTGAAAAGAGCCTACTTCAGGCAAATAAGAAAAGAAGGGAATACTCAAAGACAGATGTCCATTTGCCTGAACTGAACTATAATCATCTCCCTGAACTCAGAGCCTTGGAGGGCATTGGTATGTTTATAATGCTTTTGCTTTTTCAGCCCTTTTGTTTACATTATTTAAAATGTATGTTAAATAAACTAACAGAATATTAAAAATAAAAATTCATAGTAACTTTACATATTTAAGTGTGTAAATATGTACAGACTTATGTAGAATAAGTACATACAGAGGGACAGATATAGAATGTGAAAAACTAACAAAAATGCCTAATTGTTTTCACTGTACTTATGGTTATTTTTATCTAGCTCGAAATTCCAGGCTAATAAGGAAAGAGAACAAAAATCTTTCAGAATCTCGAATGCCTTCTCTGGCCACTATTGACCTGCATGCCCCGTGTATTGCATTACATCAGGTACAGAAATACTCTTTGTAGGTTGGATGGAACTCAGGTCTCTCTCATACTTCCTATTAAAATATTTTAGAGAGAGTTTGCTGTTAAGGATTAAGCGTGTTTATTGGTGGAATCTGTGCAAGTTTGCTTGTTACATTTTGTTTTATGGCTCATTGCACTTAGTACCTTTATTACATATATATTTATATAAACGTTTCCCAGCTTATAGTAATCAGTTTTTTTATAGATTAAAAATATATGTGTGTGAGTGTATGTGTGTGTAGCCTAGCTATGGCTTTTATATAACTATAGGTTTTGTGGTAGTTTATAGTATTTCACTGCATTAACCCCAAAGTTATAACCTATCTTTCAAAGAGTGATACTCTGAAATTGTTTTTATTCTTTTAAAATGTATTGTCTGTTTGGTACTTTTCCCCAAGACAATCCACTCCATCTGTGCTAAAGATTTGCTATTCCTTATAGTCATCTTTTTCTATAATTTCTCTTATCTCTTCAGAATATTTGTTTCTGCTACTTTTATATCAACACTAGTCATATCAATCATTCTCACATTAAGAAAACTGGCAAACTTTTTAATCTGCTGAGCCAACCCTAACTAGCTACAAACTTTGGATATGTGTCATTGTACTTTCCCTTTACTTCTTCAAGTAAATTTCTCACCTTTGCTTGATGCTAGGCAACTTTTGTGTTGGAATTTAATTCTCCATCCTCTTTATTAAAGCATTTACATTTCATGGAGAGCACCTGTATGTTGCCTCCTTATCTATGTGGATGCTTTTTCCTACTGTTACTCCTTAAATAATTTTGTAGAGCTCTACGCACAAGGGGAATAATATTGCTGAGGATAACAAATTACAGAGGCACTTACTCAGTGATACTGAGAAAAAGGTTTATTGACTGCTGTTGCTTTGCCTTATCTCTTGCCAACAATTTCCATAGTAATGTAATCAAAATTAAACAAATTCCTGTTGTGTGAAGATTAATCACTGTCACAAATTTTACATTTAGGAGCTACAGAGTCTCAATAAATTCCTCATATACTTCTAAATTAAATTTGTGGATTTTAAAGGTGCAGAATTTGTCACTTGCTCTTTGTGAGTGCACTATTGTTCAAAACCACTTTTCAGGGCTGACATAACCAAATCTCGTTTCATGCAATGGAAGAAAGCCTTTGGCTACCTTCACACTTCTTCAATATTTTTATTTATTGTTCTGAACTAATCCTTTTATACTTATAAACTGGTTCTGCATTTTTACTCTCAATTTACTTGTTCAATTTCCAGTTGTATTTAAAATACAATAAAAGAGAAAGTAGGTGTAGCAAAAAACACAAATTAACACCCAAATAACAAGAGTTTATGTGTAGAAAATCTAAATGGGAAAAGAAACGACAGGAGACTGAAAGCAGAAGGCCTTCTGGCAGAAGCTGTGACCTTCCTTGCACTCTTACTTTATGGTATTCATCACCACATTAACTACATTTTGTTTCTGTACATAACACAAAAAATGTTCACATTTATAAAGTCTGTTATGTACCTGATGGAACAATCTGTAAGACAGATTTTTGTAAGTAGAGTATTGCATAAGCTATGGACTCTGTCTCCACTCCCCCACCCCCTACACGCTTGCATACATTATGTACTTAGACACGTAGCTACACATTTTTCCTCTAAGCACTGTTTTTTTTTTTTTTTTTGGTGAGGAAGATTGTTCCTGAGCTAACATCTGTACCAATATTCCTCTGTTTTGTATGTGGGACACCGCCACAGCAAGCATGGCTTGATAAGCAGTGTGTACGTCTGTGCCCGGGATCCAAACCCACGAACCCTGGGCTGCTGAAGCGGAACGTGCAAACTTAACCACTACACCACCGGGCCAGCTCCTGCACTGTTTTAGCTTTATCCCATAAATTTTGATATGTTTTATTTTATTATCATTCAATCAAAACATTTTATTTCCCTTGTAATTTCTTCTTTAACCCATGAATTATTTAGAAATGTGTTGTTTCATGGTTAGGTATTTAGAGTTTCCCTAGATATTTTATTATTACTGATTTGTAATTTAATTCCATGTGGTCAGAGAATATACTTTGTATGATTTTGATTCTTTTAGATTCATTGAGATGTGTTTTATGGCCCAGTATATGGTTTACCTTGGTGAATGAACCTTGTTCCCTTGAAAATAGTATATATTCTTTAGTTGTTGGATGTAGTGTTCTATAGATGTGAAATTAGATTAAGGTGGTCGATAGTATTGTTCAGATCTATGTTTCTAATGATTTTTTTGTTTAGTTCTATCAGTTCCTGAAAGAATACTGTCAAAATCTTTTACTGTGATTGTAGAATTGTTGATTTTTCTCTTATATCTGTTTACTTTTGCTTCATGTATTTAAAATCTCTATTGTTAAGTACAAGCACACTTAAAATAGTTTTGTCTCCTGATACACAGTCTCTTTTATCATTATGAAATGTCTCTCTTTATCTCTCTCTGTGCTCTGTGCCTTGAAGTCTATCTTATCTGAGATTAAAATAGCCACTCCAGCCTACTTACACTTATTTGTTTCCATGGTATGTCTTTTTACGTTCAACCTATCTGGTTTTTATATTTGAAGTGTTTCTTTTGCCAATAGCATGTAAGTAGGGTCTTTCCTTTGCATCCATTCTGTCAACTCCAATTCTTTGGATTGGAATGCGTATTAGTTTTCTATTGCTGCTAACAAATTACTACCAACTTAAAACAATATCCGTTTATTATCTCAGAGTTTCCATGGGTCAGAAGCTGGGACACAGCTACTTCTCTCCTTAAGGGTCTCACAGGCCAAAAGCAAGATGTCAGCAGGCCTGCCTTTCTTCGGGAGGCCCTAGGGAAGAATCTATTTCCAGGATCATTCATGGTGTTGGTAGAATTTAGTTCCATGTGGCTGTGGGACTGAGGTCCCTGTGTCCTTACTGGCTGACACCTGGGGGTTGTTCTCAGCTTCTAGAGGCCACCCACATTCGTTGGCTCATGGCCTCATTCCACCATCTCCAAAGCCAGGAACAGTGGTCAAATCCTTCTTACTTTTTGACTCTCTCTTATCTCCCCTTCTGCCTCATCTCTCTGACTCACTCTTCTGCTTTTAAGAGCACATGTGATTACATTGGGCCCACCAGGATAATCTCTCTATCTTAGGGTTAGGTGATTAGTAACATTAATTCCAGGTGCAAAGTCCCTTCATGGCAGTAGCTGAATTTGTTTGATTGACTAACCAGGGACAGGAATCTTAGAGATATCTTTAGAATTCTGTGTACTACTGAATATTTAGGCCATTAACATTTAATGTGGTTATTTATATGTTTGAATCTAGCTGTTCTATTTTCCCTTTCTAGTCTTCTTTTGAATGTTTTTATTATTGGCTTTTTGGGGATATTTCTTTTTATTATTTTTTTAGTGATTGCTCTAGGGATTACAATATACATAACTAATCTTTCACAGTCTACTTAGAGTAAATACTGTACCACTTATAAAACATAGAAACCTTGCAAACATATTTTCCCCCAAACCTAAACTTTATGTCAGAGTTATATGTATTTTATTTATATACATTGAAAACCCCACTACACAATACTGAACTTTTGCTTTAAACAGTAAAAAATATTTTAAACAATTTATGAGAAAAAACTAGTCTTCTATATTTATCTAGCTACTTACTATTTCTGTTGTTCTTCCTTTTTCTTAAAGATTACAGTTTTATTTTCTGCTATTATTTTCCTTCAGCCTGAAAAACTTCCTGTAGCATTTCTTGCAGAGCGGGTCTTATGGTAACAAACTTTTAGTTTTATTCATTTGAGAATGACTTTATTTTGCCTTCATTCCTGAAATATATTTTCATCGGATATAGAATTTGAGTTGGTAGGGTTTTTTTTTTTTAATTTTTCTCCCAGGACTATAAAGATATTATTCCTTTGTCTTCTGATCTCTGTGATTTCTGGACAAATCTCAGGCATTTGAATTGTTGTTCCCTTGTAAATAATGTTTTATTTTTCTCTAGCTGCTTTCAAGATTTAATCTTTATCTTTCGTATTCGGTAGTTTGAATATGATATGTCTAGGCACAGTTTTCTTTGAGTGTATCCTGTTTGGGGTTTGCTGAGCTTCTTGAATCTGTAAACTTGTCTCTTTTACCGAATTTGGGAAATTTTTGTTAATTATTTCCTCAAATTTTTTTTTTCTGCCACAATCTCTTTCTCTTCTCCTTCTGAGATTCCGATGACATATATATTAGACCTTTTGGTATTTTCTCACAGATTCCTGAGACTCTGTTCACTTTCTACTAAGAATTCCTATTCCTTCATTCATTTCAAGTATGTTTTCCTTTACTTCATGTAACATAGGTATAATGGTTGCTTTAAAGTCTATATATGTATATGTACACACACACACACATATATAAATATATATTTTATATATATACACATACATGCATGTACAGAAATATACGTAAATAACTACATATATAAAGTTCTAACATCTGGACCATCTCAGGATTGATATCTCTTGATTGCCCTTTCTCTTGAGAATTGATCACACTTTTGTAGACCTTCTTATGTCCAGTAATTTTGGATTGTATCTTGGATATTGTGAATGTTATATTGTGTAGTCTCTGGGTCCTGCTATAATCCTCTGGAGAATATTGAAATTTTTATTTTAGCAGGCAGTCACTCAAGTTTCATTCACACTGTAAATCCTGCCTTACCTTCTGTGACAGGTGGTTCAAACCTCAGTTCTCTAAGTCTTTGCTATGCTGGTTTGGAGCTATCCCGTGTTTGGAGCATGAATCCTCAGGAATTGGACTGAGACTTCTGTGGGTTTATACACAGAATTAGAGGATGCCCTTCTCTAGTTCTTCTTCCTCCAGAATTCCTCCCATACTTTTTGCCATGCAGGGACCCTTTTCCTGGTTTCTCTGGTTATAAAGATGGAGTTTCTTTCAGACTTTTAGCCTCTTGTACTTCCTCACTACTCTGAGACTAGGGCCTGCCCTTTGGGCAAAGGCACAGGAGTGAAAAACAACGTTGGAAACCAACCCCCACGTGAAGAGTCACATCTTCAAGTTTTGACTCCTCTCTCTTAATCCTCAGTTGTTTTTTGTATTTTTCCCAAAGGGTTTGTTTGTTTGTTTTGTTTGTTTGTTCTTTTGGTATTAAGTAGGAGAGATGGGTTGTAGTTGGTTTACACTGCCCTGGCGCATCAGAAGTATCTTTTAACATATGTATCAATAAAGAGGTCAAAGAATAATGTCCCCTTACTTCATCTTCTTCTGTGCAAGCATCTTGAGCTATGAATAGTTCATTCTAAACATCTGCTATTTGAACAACAAGAATTGGGATTTTTGGGGAATGAGACTTTTACAATTACTGGGAATCTCTAATGCTTGATTATTAACTTATAGGTATCAGGATCTCCCCTGTCAGATGATTCGGAGGCTGATTTGCCTCGAATGGAACACCAGCACTGAGTGTCATTTTGGTTCTGAACTGGGTATGTCTGATTTCTCATACTTAAAGCTGTGTAACCTTTCATGAGAAATATTTTGTAGCTTGCCAAAGATCAAATTCTGCAGCCGAAACATTCTGCAATGGTTGATTCCGTGAGAACTCCTGATAGTTGTACCACTTGAAAAAACAGAAAGAGCATTTGTCTCTGTGATGAAATCCATTTTCATAGATTCACTAATCTCCTGTATTTTATTGGATACAGTAATGTGAATTTAGGGTGACAAGTGCTCCAGAAGGATATATACTCATCTCCATTATCAGTGATTTGCCCTTCGGGCTTGTGAAGCAGGAAAGATGAAATGATTGCTTGGTAGTCTTTTTCCCAATAAAGAGAGATCAGCACTATACCAAATACATGATTGCCTTCCTTTCAAATATAACTTTTTAGTGCTAAAAAAACAAAAGTCCGACCTTTTTGAGTGATAATTTGCTAGGTGACCTCAGACAAGTCATTCAATGTTTAATATCTCATTAACTCTGTAAAATGTGATGATAATAAAATCCCACGTTCTCATACTGTGTTATTGAAGTTAATCTGATAACCTCCACAAAGCATTTTGAACATCTGTGACATCAAATGTGAATTTACTGTGAAGTGAACATAAGTTTCAATCCCTCATTTGCACATGTCTCTTCCAACGCCCCAGGAAAAGTCTTTGCTGTGCATTCTTTATATATACTGTATAAACTTGTACAAAACTTGGATCTATCTTGTCAAAATTAGTCATTATTTGCATAAAAGGAGATAGTGTGCTATACATGATAATTTTTTTTGGTAATTATCCTAAAGATAGTCTTTAAAATCTTGTTTTTGATACATGTGATCTAAGGTTTTCTTAGACTATGTAATACCTACCAATATTATCAATATGTACAATATGAGAAAGCAGGTGAGATAGAAATCGATTTCTAGGAAGACTTCATGTAAAATATTTGGTGGCATATATCCCCTTATGCTTTAGATGCTGCTCTAGCACTTGAGATGACATCCTCTTGCAACAAAAGTGCTGATATCCTAGAAGGAGAGATTCGTGGCTCTGATCATTTACTTCTGAACTGCCTGCATTTTCTGAGAAAGGCCTTGCAGAAGAAGGCAAGACCAAGACTTGCAAGTGTTTCAAAGGAATATTGAACAAGTGCCCCTCCCCAGCTTTATCCCATCACCTTTCAGGTCCACTGATGCTATTTCAAGATAGTGATATGGTTCTCGTTACACGAATGTGTATTTACTATTGGTAGATTGTGTTTTAAAAGTTACCCAAGATTAAAAGTGAGTAAAAAAAGGGAGAGAGAGAGAGAAACATTATAAAAGGTTATTTATGCATTGAACTTTGTGTGTTATCTGTATAAATGTGTACATTTATGTAGGAGTGGGTTTGGTGGAAGTAGGTGATAAAAACTAGGATCAGTTGAAGAAAATGAAAAAACAAGAATCAGTAAGAGAAAATGTTTCCTTTACCCTATCTTAACTATAAAAACACATTTAAAAATCTTGCTTGTTTCTAGGCTTTAAGGAGATGTGTCACTGCTCTCTGTGGATAGACGTATGTCTTTGGTTTCTGTGATTATTGTTGATGTTTGATCAGTGTATTATGGGAATCTGGCCTCTTTGCTGATCTTCTAAGAACCACACTAAAGCAAATTTCACAAGGAAACCTTTTATTTCTAATGACTTAGCACGACTCTGGCATTGGATAGTCCTCTGTTTTGTAAGATTCTGGTGCTAATGTTCCTGTGTGCAGAAACATGATTGGAACAAGAGCGGTGAAGGAGAATTCTGTAGGTATACCTTGGACTTGAGGACTGTGCTTCTCATTGAAAGAAGAGGTATACGTACAAAATTAGATGGGAAGCAGGATTACCAATTGACTAGGACTGATTACTCTTCTCTGGGCCAACTGCTATTGACCTCCCCCGCTGAAGAGGCTTGGGGGAGGGGATGTGCACAGTTAAGGACTTCGCAGCTGTCCACCCATGGTTTCAAGGTGATATTAGAACCCAGAGATGTTCCTGTCTCCTTGTTCTGTCAACCACTTAGGCCTTCCCACAAGCTTTTCACCAAGGTGCAAAATCATTTACCTACCGCCCACACAACTTTTCTAAAGCACTGGGCCACAACTTTTAGGTGGGAGACTTAAACCAATTTGGCTCCAGGTTTTTGGTTTCTGAGTTTCCAGTCATGCTCTGCATTTGTCATTTTAGAGAATGGTTATTAAGGGGACCAGAATTTGTGTGGGTTTTTTTGCCTTAACCAGTTAACAGTGTGTTGTTTTTTCCAAAAAGCATTGATTAGAACTTAGCCCAAGAATTTAACTAGCACTTTTCTCTATTACTCTGGGGAGCTTAATATTGAAATTCTGACCTTAGATACGTGGGCCTCAAGAGAGTAGGACATTCAGGAGGAGGCAGAATAAGAGGCTCCAATGAGGAGGTCTATAGGTAGCTCAACTAAAGTTTGGCCTTGATTTTGAGGCTCTACCTTTAACCCCTGACCTGGTATTTGACTAGATTGGTATGGCTAGCACACTGAACAAAATTAGTGTATAGGCATTAATAGGCGTCACATTAAAATATTATTATTTTATTTTTACTTTGAAAAATATTGCCAACAGACTCTACAGCATGGAAAGCAGACAATACTTAAAAGCCAAGTGGTTCTCCAGCTTATTTCAAGGTTGTTTTTATTTAAAGATCGGTGTGAAAATATCACCTCAATGTCTGAGAGTTTAGGATCAGTTACATTCTCATTTCTATATTTGCTTTTGGTATCTTTTGTCTACTAAAACATTTTGTGAACTTTAGAATTAAAGAAATAAAAATTACTATAAGTCAAAGTTGAACCTTGAGGATCATATCTGGTTAGAATCTTGGCAGAACTACTTGAAAAAGAAGATTTTGCAAATTGGGGCTATGGATACTGACCAAAATAATCCTTTTTTTCAGTTTAAGGTTACTTTGTCTCTCCTTACAAGGGTACTATTAAGCCACATACTAACAGGAAATATGTGTATGTACTGGTGGGGAGAAATGGGCTTGTTGTGTGTATGTATGTTTTAAAATTAGTAAATATTATATCTTACTGATCTCCATAGATGGTTTTTATTTGCACTTATTTAATTGAGAGACTATAAATAATGTATACAATACTGTATGGTAATTAACAAATAAGTTTGAAATAATCTGTTAATTCTTTTTTGGAAACGTTGGATATAGGAGAGGTAAGTTATTTTTCTTGTACAGCCAGTGATACAAGCAGCCTGGTCATAAAGGAACATGTCTTGTACAGACTACCTGGTAAAAGTTGTGACAGACTCAGGCTTAGAACGTTGGTTAGAATAGCTGACTTCCTATTGAAATGGGAACGTAGAAGATGTGTTTTCTTATGTGACTATCTCATTATTGGTTCCTTTATTTTAGTTGTGCTGCAAGATAAGACTAGATCTGTACTAAACGGTGAGTCAGACTAGACCGAAAAATGTGGTTGATTTGTTTTCTAAGCCATCCCCTATACAACTGAACCACGGAATCAGAAACACCGGGGGCACTGTTCCTACTGCTTTAAGGCTAGTCCTAGTAAATTGGACTAAACAGGATTTTCTCTGTTGTTTTGTGTAAAGTGTTTTTACATTAGAAATGAGCCATTAACACTCCTCTATGTGAATGAAAAGTTATGTTCTCACATTGCTTTTTAAAGGGTCTTATTTTTTCTGTTGGTAGCTTCAGACTTGAAATAACTTGAAAATGTAATTAACATACACCTTATCTGTTTCTTAACATGTCCTTCTGAGAAGTACCTCACTGTAAATCTTGACATTGTTTGTAAGTAACCTGTGATTTAGAGCTTTGTGTTTATAGATGTTTGTGGATATTTGATGTTGAATGTATTATACACTGAGAAATTTTCTTAAAAAAAAAAAACAAAACAAAAAGCCCATTTACAAAATGTCATTTTCCTTTGTGAAATTTTATTTCCCCCCATTGCATAGCCTTGTTAAATCCCTTCTTGTTCTACTTTGGCATGCAGGGCCATCTCCTGTAGAAGTAAGGAAGGTTCTAGCAAAATTTTGGAAAATGTATTGTTGGTTAACATGAATTAAGAAAGAATCTGGGAAATGAAACCAAAATATCTCAATTAAGCACTGAGACTAGGGTAGGAGCTCCTATGAAGAGAGAGAACAGATTTTTATGTCAGTTTATCTGCAGTCAGCTGTCTCCATGCTTCTAGATCTGGAAAGTCATCTCCGTTAACAATGCTGCTAGAAATTAAAACTATCCCTCACCCGACGACAACAGTGTGTCAGTTGGTTATTCCCTCCTTAATCTGTTTTCAGCCCTCTTCCTTGGATCATCACTCCTTTTACTTACATGTACACCTACCTGTCTGTCTCTCCCACTGTATTTTTTTAAGTAGAAAAGCTGTTTATTAAGTTGCTCCTAGACCCTCCAGAAGAGTCGAGGCCAGATTCTGAAGGCACACAGGCAAGAACAACACCCAGTGTCACTGCCCCCACTAAACTTCCTGTGTCTCTAAAGATTGGGAACCACAACTTATTTATCTATTTCTGCTCCACACCATCTAGCACAGTGATTTCTATGTGACAATAGTAATAATAATCCTATGAAGGTAGGAATGTTAGTCATATTTTACAGGCAAGGTAATAGGCTTAAAAAGTTTATGGAATTTACTCAGTGTCACTTAATAAATGATAGAGCCATGCATGTTTGTTGAAATCAATATATGGCCATGATTACTTAGATCTGGAATCAATTTTAAAAATTTTTCTTTAGATAACATAAACTTTTGCATCCTCATTCACTTACAGAGGAGCAAGTGTGTTTCCCCAGCCATCAAACAAAACTTCATTCTAATTAAGCCGAATTTGGATACTGCTCACCTTGAATTAAGCACTGTAGCCAGGGGAATGGTATGCACTGATTGGCTGGGGCGTCTGTTAAATTCCTTTGTCTGAATTAACAATGAGAATGAAAGGAAACAGGATTATGCTGATTGGTTTTGGCCAATGACAGCCTATCCATGGAACCACCCGGCTTCTACAAAGCCCAGGAGGTATGCACAGAATGGATGCTGGAGAAACAATCACAGTGCTCACCAGAGATGGACATTTTGAAGGTGCAAAAGGTGTGCTTCATTTTAGATTTTGACTGCTTCTGCCAAATTGTCCTCCAAAAATGCTGTACCAATTTATATTGCCACCATCAGTTTATGAGAAAGTCTATTTCCCCACACCCAGACCATATTAGATACTACTAATAATTTCCATTCTGACCAATCTGATGGGTGAAAATTATCTTGCTTTAGTTTATATTTTCTTGATTACCACTGATGTTACACATATTTTAATGTATTTTTTTCTTTTTACATATTTATTGGTCATTTGAGTTTCTTCTTCTGTAAATAAAGGATATTAAAGGTATTAAAAAAAGATAAAGCAGATTTTTGTTTGAGTATTGGAGATTTTCCTTTGTAGATGTGTTTCCTGTCTCCTGAAAACAAAGGCAAACACCAGATTCAGATAATATATTTTGGCCCAAACTATATTGTAGATCAAAACTTATTTTGTACTGGGAAATGCAACCCAGCCAGAAGGATGTATTTTTCATTACACTTGTCTTCCTAAGTAAGGTGGTCAGGTCCCTTTTCTTCTGTTGGGTCTGGGGAGGAAATAAGTTAATGAGTGATAAGCACTTCTCCCTTCTAGGGTAGAGGGAGAAGTCGGTTCTGTTTGGATGGACAGGAATTATTTAAGGAGAGTTATGAAAGTCTGAGCTCGGGGGTTGCTGCAGCTGACCTTACAGCCATGTCACTAGGATGACACCTTACCCCTTTGGCTCTGCCTGGGACTGCCCACTGCTGCCAAGCTGGGATCCAGGGGCGGGCAGTAAAGTCCCACTCACTGTAAGACATATCCTTCCCAAGGGGAAAAATGCTAAAACCTGTGAGGAATTTTATCTGAGGGGTATTATCTGTTCCTTTTGTCCATGCAATAAACGGTCTTCTTTTTCCGTTTTTAAGGGCCCAGTGTTAAGGAGTGCCTGATCTATTTGAACCATAGGAGTGGCAAGGAAGAGCTGTAACAGCTGGTCCCTCAGATGGTACCGCCAGTGGAGTGGCGCACCCTAGTGGACATTGATAGTTAAACACTCCAATAGTCCAGTTCTAGGGATTTATGAAGCACAGCGGGAGCAGGAGAGACCCAATGCCTCTGGTCTCTGTTTCTGCGATTGCGTCAGGGCTCCCCTAATGTCAGCAGGTGGCTGGTGACTCAGAGATCAGCAAGGTAGAACGAGTGGCTGGAGGAGGGTTCGGCTGATGGGAGCATGGGAGTAGTGGGGAAGAGCTGTGGACTTCACGGAGAATCCTGAGTCAAAGAAAAAGAAGTTGGAGAATTATCAAGGTAAATTTGCCTCACAATGATGAAATGTGAACAGATGGGCAAAGGCAGAGCAGCAGGAAGGCCAATCAGTGCTAATCCAAAAAGGACCCTGAACATCTTTGGAATTAATTAGAAATATGGTTTTCAAGTGTGATTTCTATATAAGCAGCAAAATGTAAGTTGATGCTCACAATGAATGGAAATTTGAAAATTAGTCCACACTGGCACTGGCTATTTTTCTTGATTATATTGGAATGCAGTCTAGGGAGTTTGTATGGTACAGCCCCAGACACATTTCCAGACTTGATGTCAGTTAGCTAATATGTATGTTAAGTCAGAAGTCAGTGCAATGGAATTCTGAATCTGAAAAAGTGCAGAGCATGCTGTTGAGGGGAAATAAACTATCTATTTTGTGTCTAAAATTGAAGTCCTTAATATACCTCTCAACATGTTGATTTGAAAAAAAATTACCAAAGAAAACTGAAAAGGGACTATAGAAAAGGAGAAATACTTTGCTAATATGGAAACAGAACTTTGAAATGCATTTTGAACACAATTTTATTACTATGACTGTATGAAATCCACCTCTATTCTGAATGAGGGTGAGTATCTAGTTCTCCAAGTGAAGGAAAACTGAAAGATATTTCCAAAGAACTTAAAGTGTATTATGTGCAGAGCATGTAATAAACCTCCTATTTAGAACATTAGCCAAGGCATATATAAATTTTGTTGTCAGAAAATCTGTTTCTCAAACCAACCCTGATTGCCTAGTGGTTAAATTTCCATGCTCGCCACCTCAGCAGCCCAGGTTCATTTCCTGATCACGAAATGACACCACTTATCTGTCAGCAGCCCAGGTTCATTTCCTGGTCATGAAACCACACCACTCATCTGTCAGTTGCCATGCTGTGGCAGTGGCTCACGTAGAAGAACTAGAACAACTTACAACTAGGATATACAACCATGTACTGGGGCTTTGGAGGAAGAAGAAGAAAAAAAGAGGAAGATAGCAACAGATGTTAGCTCAGGGCAAATCCTTCCCTGCAAAAACAAAACAAAACAAAACAAAAAACCCCCAGAAAATCAGTTTCTCCTTGCCCATTGAACAGATATTTAAGGAATAACAGTTTGAGGAGGCATCTCAAATAATGAGCCTTCCCAGGAAACCTATATGTCTTGATCTGGCTTTGGGGGAGAGATTTTACAAAGAGGACTAGACTCAGATTTTAAAAAAGTGATAGATGCTGCAATAAAATCCTGAAAAAATTACAAAATTAAGTGAGCATTAAACTGGAGGATTCTCTATCTCTTGTTGCCATTCTGATCTATTCTCTAAGAAAGTACTGGAAGAGAGATATTATCTGCAATGAAACAGAGAAAGATTCATGTTAAAATTCCTGAAAGAAAGCTGAAAGCATGCACTGGTGGCCAGTAACTTTTATTTGAGAGGGATATTTGTACCTTATCTTTCTCTCCTCAATAGTTCTTTTTTTCTGGAGAAGATTTTAAAATCCTGAGATTTCCCCTGATACGTGGGAATTGATTTGCAAGCAAACAGGGTTAAATATCAGGAGGTTTAAAAGTTCGTTTATTTAACAAATATTTATCAAGTCCCTACCATATGCAGGTATTGTTTTAAGTCTTGGGATAAAGGAGTAAACACAACAGACACAAACCACTGCCTTTACGGAGCTCC